GCCTGGGCTCCATCCCATGCCCATGCCAGAACCCCCTCTCAGCGTTCGCAGGATCGGTCCCAGGGAAGAGCCACCCCGGAGCAAGCTGTGCCCTTGAGACGGGCCTTGGTGGCACAAGTCTCTGTCCGCTGTGGTGCCTGCCCCGTCCGGGGTGGCTTCGACAAGCCGGGTCTACTGGCCCTTGGCACGCCGGCCTCTTGCCTGGCCCAGATCCTGCCTCACTGTTGCCTGCTCTGGCACTTCCTCCGGGCCTCTGGCCACCCACGCCCCATCCAGGACCCTGACAGCAAACCCTGGAAGTTGGGGGACGTTGCCCTGTCCAAAAGCACGTTGGGTCAGCCCCGAGAGGCTCAGGCAGAGCGGTGGACAGGAAGGCAGTGCTGCCCAGTTAGGCTGGGGGAGAGAGCAGCTTTCTGAGCCGAGATCACCGCTTCATCCCCCCCACCCCAACGCAGGGGGGGATGACCATCACGGCTACACAATTCCTGGCAACCATCCAATGCCAAACTGCAGCGAATGGATGCTGGACTGGGATCCTGGGCGTCGCTCGTGCGACCAGTTCAGGCAGCCAGGAGGCTGCTCGGAGGGGAGGGGAGGGGAGGGGAGGGTGCTGGGCTGAGGCTTGGGGGGCCCCCGTTCGCATCCCCGCTCTGGGGACCATAGGCCAAACGCTGCCACTCAGCCTTGCTCACCTCCCAGCGTCGCTGGAGGAGAGGAGGCCTGCCAGGGCCACTTGGGCTCCTCCGCAGAAAAAAGGAGGAATGCAATACAATCAAGGCATGGCGAAGCTGGGCCTGCCCAGAGTCCTGCAGAACCAGCTGTGTGATGATGGCATCCTCCGTGCAGCCAATAATCCCCCCTACACACACACACACACACACACACACACACACACACACACACACACACACACACACTTCTCAGGGCTTCCTGTGAATGAGGGGAGGGTCTGTGCGAGTTTGCCCTGCTGGGGATCCTGGGATTTGCAGACAGGCACACAGCCTCGGGCTCCATACCATCGTCTCCTTTGCGGCTACTTGGTTCTTTTAATTATTTTTATTTCCTTAACCTATACAAATACGTACAAGAAAATGTAGAATGGGGCAAAAAGACTAACCCTTTTGTGGCTACTTCGGAAAGCTCTGGCCACGTGCGGTGCCTGGCGCATCAGAAAATGCTATGGAAAGAACATCTGCTCTGCTTTCACCGACTGAGCACTGACTGCAGCACACGGGCAGCTCGCAGACCTGCTGCAGAGCAAGCTCGGTTGGGCCAGGGAAGCACCCAGAGGGGGCCCGGGAAAGGCAGCGCAGGTGCCCTCAGGCATGGGCGACACTCCGGGCAAGGAGTCTCCTGAGGCTGGAAGGTCCGGGATAGGGTGTCACCTTCGTGTGTCTCCACCGTTGAGCGGAAACACAGCCAACAGGTAGGGAGCGCCACCACTGTGTGCTTGGACAATTCCCCCCCCCATGTGAACTTGCCGCCTGTTACGCAATTTGCTCAGAACCCTGCAAAGGCGAGCTGGCATTTCATCCGAGGTTGTGCAGGACTTCTGGGTGCCTCGTGCCCAGGGGAAGGCCGAGGTGGGGTGGGCCCCTTGCAGCCCCCAGCAGAGTCAGCTGCCGTGGACGACTGTGCAATAAGGGATCGGGGGAAAGGGCCAGTTGAACTGCAGCTCCGTTGCTTCGCCGGTTGTTCTCCAGATACTGAAAGGCAAACCGTGCCAGCCGAGCGGAAGGAGCCAGTAACAGGCTCAAGCCGTGATGGTCCAGCATTAGGCAGACAAGGCTCATGCGAGTGCAGCACCCTCTGGTCCAGGAGGACAAGCTCACGGCAGGGTAAAGGACCGTCAGGACCCTGGGCAGCGCAGTGCAGCAGTGGGGGCGCTGCTGGGCTGCCTCTGCACAAGGAGAGCTGTTGTCACAGCGAGGCGCTGCAGGCAGCCGAAGAAGCCTGGCAGGGCTGGAGTGCTTGGCGGTGCAGCAGGGGCTGGATGCTGCTCCTGCCCTGAGCCCACACTGATTTCCTACCCTTCTGCTCCTGCACAGGTGAGGGAACAGCAGTCCGGGAAGAGGAGGCCAAGTATGGAGGGAAGCCTCTGTCCTGAGGCCTGGAAAGATCCTGGAGCGAGGTGACCTCACTGACCCTTGCGTCCTCCTCTGCTTGCCCCAAGAGCCTGGGGACAGGGCGCAGCACTCCTGGCTGAAAGCACCGAGGGATGGCAATTTGTGCTGCGGTCAGGCCAAGAAAGGGGAAGTTGCAACTGCAGCCAGAGAACATGACATCACACTACCAGTTAACATTTATTGGTGCCAACGGTGTGCCAGGTGCTGTACAAAACTTAACAATGGTCCCTGCCCAGAGTCTGCTATATATATATCATATGAAGAAATTTTACTATAAAATCTACTATATGGTCCGATTTTGAAAGGCTTCCTGTATTCTTTCATTGTTGGATGCGCTCCATAATCCTCCATTCTTTGCTTCCCGTAGCATCTTTGACGGTTGCATTCATAATCTGAAACGCCATTGTTTCTCTTTTCCTGTGGGACAGACCTGTTGTGCTCAGCTGGGACAGGAGCCAAAACAGAATACACAGCTACAGATTCGCTACACAATGTGCTTTAGCATCTGGTTGGTAGCTGTCCTGCATCATGTGATTTTGGGAGTTTAATGCAGATAAGGAATGTCCAAGCTCATTCTGCCAAGTTGCTGGAAGACTGGAGCCCGAGGAGTAAGACGCGAATTCTGGGCGGAGCGTGACAGAGGACCAGGCTTCTTCCTCTGCTTCCCATGGGAAAGACCACCGGAAGCTAGAAGACCACCTCTCATCTGACCACCAGTAACTCCTGCCTTCACAAAACTGGAAATTGCTGTTTCCATTCTGGGGAATGATCAGTTACATCAGTCAATCAATTACAGGTAGAGGCCAGACTTAGCTGGGTGGATTGTCTGCTTGTTGCAAAGTTGTCCAGACTTATAACCGACTACAGATCACATGATGCAGGACACGTGCCCTGAAGCACCTCAGTGTGGGAACATCTAGGTTGGCAGAACACTCAAGAGGAAAATGCCATGCAAACGGGAGAAGATACAATCCAAACGCCCAGGTGCATTTCTGCAGAAATCTGCAGCATCAGGAAAAGAAAACAGAATTTCACCACACAATACGACTGAGAGTGTTTCTACTCACTGTGTCTTCTGAAAACATCTTTGGTACACATGAGGGATTCAGCAGCCCTTATACAAGTACAGGGATGCGGAGAAACCCAAGCACTGGAAACCCCACCCACGCCGGTCCACAAATGGATCCTTCCCAAACGGCCAGTGCATTTTCTGCATCTCAGCCTGGCTCACTGTGCTCACGACTGCCCTGCCACGACCCAGGGGAGACCCTGGTTTTATTGGGATTGTAGGCAGTTCCAAAGCAGGGCAGGAAAAAGAAATTGGGTGAAGGAAGGATCCAGTGGCGTTGATTAGCATGGATGGTCAAACTCGGAAGACATCCCAAAGTGGCAATTTCCCGACACTTGATTACCATCATCTCCAGCCTGCCAGCTGAGCCTGCGCAGAAGCCTCGAATGAGCTTTCCTACACGAGGCCTTTAACCTGCCACTTTTTGGAAGCTTCCGGATTCTTTGTGGAATTAAACTCCGCTGCTTTACACATGATTTTTCCTGGGGCTTTGCTTTCTCTCCATGACACAACCACAAGGTGGAGCTGCAGCACAGCAGAATTGCAAAGCTAACATGAATCTGTTTGGCCGTGATTTAGCATTTTGGTGAGGACCCGGCTTTCCTTGAGCTAAAATAAAAAGTGCAGAAGGCCCTGGAGAACGACGAAATCAGGCAAAGCTCCTGTGGACGATCGTGAGTGAGGAATCGAGGAATCACAAGTGCACAGACAACGCCTTGTTTAAAGCAGTCCTACATCAAGGTAAGGCAGCTTGATTCCCCTCCGGTGTTTTGGATTCAAACTCCCATCAGCCCAGCCGGCATGGTCTGTGGGAGTCATAATCTGGAACATCTGGGGGAACATCGCATCGCTTCTCCCATCTATGTTGGCACGATGGAGCAAAACAAGGGCTCAGGATGAGACCCATATGCAGAGTGGATGGTGATTAAAGCGGCAATACACGGAGGCCATGTTGCAAAGCAAGCCTAAGAGGCGACCAATGTGCCCACCTAATTTTCATGGGGGTCCCACCTCGTGTGTTCCAGGCATAAGCAGTTGCTTCAGTTGAACAAAAGGGATATTTTAATGCCTGCCCCCTTTTCACTGCAGCCGGATTCGTCCACGCAGCAGAAGACGTCACCTGCTGGAGGGGGTCTGCTTGCCTGAAGAATCCCCCGTCCAAAATATGTTTGGCTTATTTTGCTGCTGCAGAGAGGGCCGGTGTGGATCCCAAGCAGGTGGCTTCTTGCAGAAGACCTTCCACAACCAAACCAATGGCACAATACGAAGGAAAAGCACAACAGTTCGGCCTTGGGAGCAACACCAATGCCACACACATGGCGAGCCGGCCGGCAATTTCCTGGGGAACAGCGCATAGCGCTTGTGAGCCAGACTGGCCTTTGGAAAATCCCGGCCTTTGCCTGCAGAAAAGACTGGAGAAGTTTTGCACAGATCCTTAAACCTTCCTCAACCTGCCACGGCAACTCGACCCAGACTGTGTGGCCAATTGCAGCTTTATGGGGGTGCAGCCAGCATATCTAAGGGCTGCCAGGCTGGCCTAGGCTGACATTTATGCAGATGGGTCTATGCAGCTGAAAAACTGCTCCCGTGAGCCTGGCGGGTGGTGGTTCCCATCGCTCAGCACGTGTGCTTGAAGTCCCCGAACCTTGTCTGCCACAGGAGAGAGCAAAGGTTGAGCCTTGAAACATCCCCAAGTGGAACCTATTTTGCCAGATGTTTCTAAGAGTGCCCGACAACCCCACCCCACTGGGATAATGCGGCACACTTTTCATAGGTCAGATTGAGCCTTCATCGGATACTTTTGCTTCTTCTCCTTTGGTTGGGGAATCGAAGGACCTGCCAAAAGCTTCATTTGTTCTCTGAAACCGGAGGTTGCAGCTTGCATCCTTGCCCCAGGGAGAAGTCCTGCCCCCTTTACAAGGGCCTCTTCCCCACAGGGCCGGCCAGGGTTCGGGTTCGGTTACGGTTGCTTTCTGTCCGAGCCGGAGGCTCGCCCGATGCGTGCCAAGGGCTGCTCTCTGGCTCAGAGGAACGGCGTCCGCTATGCCCCTTCGCGGCCACTGGAAGGCCTGAGCATCATCCGCGTGCCTTTCAACGAGTAGCCCGGTCCTTGGAAATAATGCCACCGGATCCCGTTCAGCTTCCGGATATTGTGCTTGGCCGGATAGTAGATGCCGTTCAGGTTTGACTGCCCGCAGGCATCAAACCACCAACCTGCAAGTGCAAAGATCAGGCAAGGTGAGCTGCAGGTGGAGACGCAACCCAATCAAGGCAGACGCTTCCCTGGAAGCAAAAGAGGAAGCTGAGGCTGCCCCTCTTTGGCCCAACCAGGAGAGGGTCAGGCTCCCTGGAGAAGAGCATCGCGCTAGCGGAGGCCGGAGGCAGAAGAAGGCAAGGGAGACCAAGCGGGGGAGGGAGGGACCCCACCGTGGAAGCCACAGCCTGACCGGTGCAAGAGCCGAGCATGGTCACTGGGGGGGTGGGGGGGGCGTTCCGGAGGGCCCTCATTCGCACGGTTGCCACCAGCGGAGACAACCGGATGGCACTGTGCGACCACAGCAGACGACGGCCCCGTGCCTTAGAGCACAGCAGCACGCAGAGGGTGCGAAAACAGCTCTCATTCTGAGGTGGGCAAACTTAAGGGGAGTTCAAAGGTTGGCAACAGTGCCAGCCCATTGCAAACCAGGAGAGGTGCCCCTCTTCCTTTGGGACTTGCCTAAAGTGGGGACTTCAGCAGGCAAAGCTTTGCTCATCCCTGACTTTGCAGGACAAGCTGCAGTTGCCAACTTTTCCTTTTTGCAAGGGATTCCCAACCCCTTCGACCCCCTCAGGCCGCAGCCATGCAGGCGCTTGGTCCTCCTGGGTGCAAAATCCCACACTCAGCATCTGAGTCTCTCTCTGCTTGAAGCAGCGAGTTCTAGATGTGTGGATGTCCATCGCTGCAGCCTCCAAGGCCTGGCAGCAGATGGGCAGATGCCGGAAACATTGCTGAAGGTGTGTCTGAATGGGAGGCGGGATGAGAAGGCCTCGTGGGGAAGGGGCTGAGCCCTGAGCTCCCTCCCCTCAGGCCCACAGAGCCTGGGGTGAGACCCAAAGCAACTGGCTTTGCTGGCTCCGAAAAGGAGGCAGAGTGCACTCTGCACAAAACACCACGGCATGGTGGGTTCCCCGAGACCTCTGATGTGGAGCATCCATGTGCTGGAGCATTACATGCTGCAAACTGCCAGCCTGGGTGTGTGTGTGTGTGTGTCAGCAAAGCTTCTGCCACAGACTCCAGGGCACGCTCCTGAGGGAGGTCCAGAGCCTTCCTGCCAGTGGGCCTCCCTCTCTTCCCAAGCATTTCCCATTTTCTTGGCTCCTGCGCAGCCTTTTCCCCACCCCAACAGCCTGAAATGCCTCTCCAAGGCTTAGCAACTGCCAAGGAGAGATTTCAGCTAAAACAGACTGCTCTTTTGGCCTTTTGCCCCCCCCCCTTTTCCCCTGGCCCCCCCCCCCCCCCGGCCTCCTCTGGAATCAAAGGAAGCTGCTCTGAAAATGCCTTTGCGCCTGAAGTTGAACGATGCTCCACACCACCTTCGAAGGAGAGGAGACCTTGGAGACAGGCTGGAACGCCCGAATGTCCCCCCATTCAGAAGTGGGGCACATGCACTAAACAATGTAAAGCCACAACAGAGGTGGTTCAGCCTGGAATTGAGGAAGGAAGGGGAGGGAAGGAGAGCGAGAAAGAGGCGATGGAGGGAGAAAAGCGCCAGAGAGCCTCAGCTGTGGGAAGGCACAGGCATGGAAATAATAACAGGAATGGGAGTGATGCGGATGAGGGCAAACTGATTTCCTAGTCACGCTCAGTAAGAGGGTCCACAGAACCGCCCTCCGCCAAGCTCTGCATGCTCAGAGTCCCTTTCTCCGCACCCCATCCACGCCCTTCCGCGTCTGGCTCGCACGAGGGCATACGCACCCCCGGAGAGCATCTGCGCACATTTGCACAGGCAGTTGTCGTTGTCGGCATCTCTTGTGCTGAAGCCGGTCCCCTGGCGAGCCAAGCCGCTCTGCTCCCCAGCGGTGCCCTTGTAGCCTTTCCAGAAAAGCCTGTGGGACAAGAAAGCGACATGCAGTCGAGTTCCGCATCTTTGAGTGACGGTGGGGAGCGAGCGGGGCAGAGCGGGGCCCCCCAGCTGGCACAGTTGGGTGCTCAGGGCTGGTGGGATTTTTTGGCAGGGGCGGAGGGGAAGAGGTGCCCATCCTGTGGAACTTGTAACGCCCCCATCCCTCTGCTTGCATTCCCAAAACAGCTGGACAACTGCTAAGTTGGCCAATAATCAAGGGAAGCTTTGTTATGAACACACGGCAAATGTGGAGGAAGACAACCCTCTCTCAAAGTTAGGAAACTTCCTTTGCTGGCTGTAGGCTCTGGCTTCAGCCCTTGAGAGCACCAGTTGAAATGAGTCAGTTACAGGTAATGCAATACATCCTTTTTCCAGGACAATTCTAGGTACCGATAAGATCCAGGGATCCAGCCCCCAATACCAACAATGCACCAGATGCTCTCGCCGTAGGCAACTGAAGCTGCATAGAAATTCCTGCTGAACCCACTGGGGTTTGTCTCCACACCAAGGGGTGGGCAGAGAGAAAGGCCAACGGTGTGCTAACCATGTTCAGCTGCAGAGGCTGTAGAGCATGTTCTGATCCAGGGGCCAGGCCAAACTTTGCTCTTCTGGTGACCTTCACACTTTAAAAGCTAACAAATGGCCCAGCGGTTGAGTAAGTGAGACTACGACCCACTGAGACTCTGTCAGTTTTCTGGCCCAGTTTGGGGGTATCTCAGAGGGGAAAAGCATGAAGGGGCTCAGTTCAGGAAGGGAGGCATTGACGATGCTCAGGGGATGATAAACCCATACGCAAGGGCTGAGTGTGAGTTGTCGCTGAACCACGGGTTCTCCTTGAACTGTGAGTTAGGAGGACATCTGAACCCTGCTGTGCTGACAAGCTGCAGCCTCTTAACCACAAATAACCCATGGTAAGAACCCACCCTCCGTCCCTGGGTTATGAACCACGGGTTCACCATTGATCTCAGGTGGGTTCAGAGACAGCACGACAAGCCATGTTCCGTCCACGGTTCAACTATGCTCCACACTTGTCCTTGAAGGTGGCTTATTGTGTGATGTGAACCCAGGCAATGTATCTTTTTCAGGCAATTTGGGTCCAACTCTTTGTTCCAATTCTAGCAAATGTCTTCAAGGAGCCTGTGGCCAGGTGCCCTACAGAGGGCGATCTTCTATTTGAAGAGCTGTTCAAGGATGGTCCTCTATTGTTGTTGCTGTTTACTTATTATTACATACTTATGATTATGTTTATACTTATGTCTATTCATTGGAAGTTGTCCGCTATTGCAAGGCCTGCCCAGTGCAACTCAAGTTGACAGAGAAAGAACCCTCAAACAGGAGGGCAGCAGGAGCCTTCACGTTGCCCCCTGGCGCGGACAGAGCGGGCACGCAGGGCACTTGCTCGTGGTCCGGCCCGCTATGGTGGGATGGGCTGCAGGCCTGTTTAAGTTAAAGCTACTGCCCCCGAATCTCCGCTGATGCCGGAGCGGCCATTCCGCCTCCAGAGAACCTTTGCCAGTTGGAAGGCTGCAATTTGCAGTGAAGAACCAGCAGGTGGCAGCACTAGACTGGATGGGAGCCGAAGCGGGGCTCCAAGCGGCTTCGCGGCATGCTTGAACGCTCCGACTGGCACAGGGTCTCTGGCAGGGAAAGGGCCTTCGAGCCCCTGCTGCTGAAGGCCTTGCGACTCGACATTCCGCAAGAATTGTCACCACGGGTCACAGCAAAGGCCTGTCTCTTCCGTCCAGTGGCCTGGCTAGAGATCTCTGGAAGCACGGAGGTGGGAGATCATGAGGACAAAAATCTTCTCCAGCAATGGATACCTCAAGGCCTGCTGCCTCTGATCCCCCCTCCTGTGTGACTAGTAGCTACTGGGGACCTTCCCCTTCCTGAGTTTGTCTAGGAGAAATTTGTGGAACCAAACAAGCGACTCTGGCTGCTGACAGAAGCCTCTTCTTCCTCCTCAGCATTGCCTTTTAAAACCAGGCAGGCCACTGCCCAATGCCAGCAACCAGTAGCAACCAGTGGCCTTGACTTCCTGGAGAGAGAGAGAGAGAGATTTCTCCTGGCTCCCTGCAGCACCTCCTCGCGGCATACATCTCCGCCAGCTTGTCTGGTGATGGGCGCCTCTTACCTGTACCTCTGAGACTCACTCCCCAGCTGGAACTTTTCGTACTGGGCGTACACGCGATGGCCTTCCCAGTCCAGGAGCTCCACCCTCAACGAATAGGCTGCCTGGCTGGTCAAGAAATGGACTGCCTCGTTACCCAGCCAATACTCTCCTGCCGGATCTCCAAAACCCTGGAAGAGACGGAGCACAAGCTGTAAGCGGCTGCTCTGAGTCTCCTGGGCACATCACCGAAGATCCTATGCCTGCCTTGGATGCTCCTAAAGAGGGCAGGCTTCACGTCCAGGTAGAGAAAACAGTAGCGGCCATGACTTCTCCTGCAGGGAGTCTGCAGGGCCCACAGGAGCTCTCCGAGCAATGGTCTTCGTTGTTGCTGAGTGCTGTGAAGTGGTCTTCTGCTTAGGGCAACCTGTGGGTGAGAGTGCCTGTCCTCAGGAGCCCAGCCCAGCCCTTGTCAGCTCAAGGCCGAGGCTTCCTGGACGGAGTCCATCCATCTCACAGCCGCTCTTCCTCTTCCTCTTCTGCCTTCGATTTTCACTAGCACGCTTGTCCTCTCCAGTGAGTCTTGCCTTCACATGATGTCCCTGAAGTACAACAGCTTATGTTTTTCCAAAGTTAGCTCTTAATGGGCTCTAGGACCCTGCAGTGAATTAAACCCCTGATTTTCTATAGTCTTGTATCATGTTGGGAATCTCCTTGGATAGAAAAGCCTTCTTGTTCTATGAACTGATCTTCAGGTTATCATTCTGTGCTTTTGTCGCTGCAGTTTTTAGAAAGAGTTTTGTTTTAAACTGAACTTTGAGAGTCAGTGGGGCGTCGTGGTTAAGAGCGCGGGACTGGGACTCAGGCAATGCGGGTTCTAGTCCCCGCTCAGCCATGGAGCCCACTGGGTGACTTTGGGCCAGTCACAGACCCTCAGCCCAACCTACCTCACAGGGTTGTTGTTGTGGGGATAAGATGGAGGAGGAGAATGATGCAAGCTGCCTTGAGCCCTTTGTAGGAAAAAGGCAGGATATAAATCAGAAAATAAAATAAACAAACAAACAAACTTTGAAAGGCCTGCTGATCTGGGGCGCTTTCACAGGTCTGCTTTGGGCTCAAGGAAAGCTGGTTGCTCATTGTTTAAGCTCAGGACAGGATCAAAGTGTCATCTGAATTGGCTCCAGGCACGCCAGGAGCTCCAAAGTCCCCCCACCCAACAACTCAGTCCCCTCTTCCACGAATTTGCACAAACCACTTCACAGATGCATTAGCCAGCGAAACAAGAGCTGATTCAGATGACTCCCCTCCCCCCGTGATTCACATCAAGCACATCTTGTTTATTGTTAAAGTGTGTCATATGAAGGCCTCCAATAACCCAACCCCCACCCCATCTTCCTCCATCCCTGTGGTTAATGTCCGGGGTACTGGGGAAATCTGCAACGGATCCAAATGACTTTGGATTTCTAGGAACCCAACCCATAGATTCTGTAGCAGATCAGCATATTTTGAGTCTCATGGCTCTGTTGATTTGCAGAGTGTTTCCTCAACTTTCTAGAACTGTATATAAAAGTAGTTGTGCAAAAGTACAATAGCATTTGCACATTATAAAATGTGCAATATGCTCATCAATATGTGAGGGTGTTCAAAGATAGGCTGGACGTCCACATGGCGGGCATGTCGTGAGCGGAGCCGGTTGGAGCTGGGGGTCAGACTAGATGGCCCGGGAGGCCCCTTCTGACTCGCTCGGTTTCTATGTTTCATATATTAGCATATGCAATATACACATGCATATGCTGGATAATATACTAATGTCTATGTCTTAAAAGCACAGTGTTTTGTACATTCATCTCCCTTCAGCTTTTGCTGTATTGTGTGTGTGTGTGCTTTGCTCATTGAGTATAAGCCCAAGGTAAGGAAAATAGCAACATGGTATGTGTGGGCATAGTGACAGATTTTATTTTCCTGGGCTCCAAGATCACCGCAGACGGGGACTGCAGCCAAGAAATTAAAAGGCGCTTGCTCCTGGGGAAGAAAGCGATGGCAAATCTAGACAGCATACTAAAAAGCGGAGATAGCACCCCGCCAACAAAAGTGCGTATAGTCAAGGCGATGGTTTTCCCAGTTGCAATGTATGGCTGTGAGAGCCGGACCATAAGGAAGGCTGAGCGCTGAAGAATTGAGGCCTTTGAATTGCGGTGCTGGAGGAGACTCCTGCGAGTCCCTTGGACCACAAGGCGATCAAACCGGTCAGTCCCGGAGGAGATCTACCCTGACTGCTCTTTAGAAGGCCGGATACTGAAGATGAAGCTCAAATACTTTGGCCACCTAATGAGAAGGAAGCACTCCCTGGAGAAGAGCCTAATGCTGGGAACAATAAATGGCAAAAGAAGGAGGGGGCGGCAGAGGATGAGGTGGCTGGATGGAGTCACTGAGGCAGTCGGCGTGAGCTTGAGTGGACTCCGGGGGATGGTGGAGGACAGGAAGGCCTGAAGGAGTGTTGTCCATGGGGTTGCAATGGGTTGGACATGACTTTGCAACTAACAACCAACACCAACAACCTCAGATATGCAGATGATACTACTCTAATGGCAGAAAGTGAAGAGGAACTAAAGAGCCTCTTGATGCGGGTGAAGGAGGAGAGCACAAAAGTTGGCCTAAAACTCAACATTAAGAAAACTAAGATCATGGCATCCGGTCCTCTCACTTCCTGGCAAATAGATGGGGAAGAAATGGAGGTAGTGACAGATTTTATTTTCCTGGGCTCCAAGATCACCGCAGATGGGGACTGCAGCCAAGAAATTAAAAGGTGCTTGCTCCTGGGGAGGAAAGCGATGGCCAATCTAGACAGCATACTAAAAAGCGGAGACATCACCCTGCCAACAAAAGTGCGTATAGTCAAGGCTATGGTTTTCTCAGTTGCAATGTATGGCTGTGAAAGTTGGACCATAAGGAAGGCTGAGCGCCAAAGGATTGAGGCCCTTGAATTGTGGTGCTGGCGGGGACTCCTGCGAGTCCCTTGGACTGCAAGGCGATCAAACCGGTCAGTCGTAGAGGAGATCAGCCCTGACTGCTCTTTCGAAGGCCAGATGCTGAAGATGAAACTCAAATGCTTTGGCCACCTCATGAGAAGGCAGGACTCCCTGGAGAAGAGCCTGATGCTGGGAACAATAGATGGCAAAAGAAGAAGGGGACGGCAGAGGATGAGGTGGCTGGATGGGGTCACTGGGTCAGTTGGCGTGAGCTTGAGTGGACCCCGGGGGATGGTGGGGGACAGGAAGGCCTGGAGGAGTGTTGTCCATGGGGTTGCGCTGGGTCGGACACGACTTCGCGACTAACAGCAACAACATGTGCTGGTCATAGTACTGTAAAATGCATGTAAAATGTACTTTTCTCAGGGGAGGGGAAAAATCCACTTCAGTCCATGAGTGAAGGCAGGAATGAAGTGCATCTGCTAATCTAAGAAACTCAAACAGACTTTCAACCCAAAGTGATACAAATGTTAGGTGGATCTCGACAGATTCTCAAGAAGCCAAACAGGGACAAGAAAACGCTCAGCCGCTATTCTAGCGCTGTCCTGCTTCGATCTGCAGCCTGCGGTCAGAGAGGGAAAGGGAGTCCCCGTTTCCCGCTGTGACGTTTCTCCGCTGCTTCTATTGACCAACATCCCCGAGGACAGAAGAGATTCTTCCAAGGCTATCCAGACCTGTTTGTACTCCTTCCAGTTCTTCTGGAAACTGACGCTGCCATTGACTCGGTTCTGGATGACAGTCCAGCCGCCTCCGTCGACTTCCATGTCGCAATAGGCCTGCAGGGGAGGAAAGCAGAGGCTGCAGGTGGGGAAGGAATGTGGGGCCGAAGGCAGCTGGGCCCCGCTGAATCCCGGCCCCTCCCAAATTCACAGGCAGGTCCGAACGGGGCTCTTCGCCAGTTCCTCTCGGCCCCACAATGGATCAAGTGCAAAACACCTAAAAAATGCATATTGTGCGAGAAAATGTGTTTAAAAATGCACATCTGAATGCTTCTGAAGTGCCTTGTGTGAAGTGACATAGAGGGGTGAACCACGGTCCGCGTGACACAGTCCGGAAGCTGATTGCTTTGCAGGGAAGGACTGTACCAGGAGGAGCTGCTTTTGAACTGGTTACTTGCAATGCCATGAAGAATATAAATGTGTTTTAAAAAAAAAACCAACTTCCTAATTAAATTGATATTCTTGGGATACTACAGCCAGTGCCATTGCAAAGGAACACCATTCACATAATTCTGAGCATGCCTTGCTCAACCTCGTTTTCTTGCAAAGTGTGTTTTTAAATGTACTTTGATCTATTTTCCAGAGACAAATTCATAATTCTTAGCACAGCTCTTTGCATTCTTCTTTAATACTATGTTGGGGCCCATGAATGATTTTGGCCCAGAGGATGGTCTGAAGGCACATCAGGCACCCACCCTGGTGAGGCCAAGCAGGCCCGTGGCTGGCCTGGCCTTGGAGGGAAGACCACCCCGGAACCGCCTGCTGCCGCCATGAGTTCCACCCTGGGAGAAAGGGGGGGGGGCGATACGTACAATAAATACATCACGCCTACCCCCATCTTGTTTTGCACATGGATTTCCTATAAACCATTAAGCAGTCGGTTTCCTTTGGAAAGAGCCAGAAAAGAGGCCGTAAGGGGCGTGCGTGTTTGTTTTACCTATAGGACAGTGTGTGTGTGGACGCAGGAGAGAAAGCAAGACAGCGCAAGCAAATGCAGCCGATGTGTCTGTGGCACAGGGACCTGGGTTCTGGCCCTGCTCAGGCAGGCGATTCACTGGGTGACACTGGGCCAGGCCATGTTGCGGCCCGGCCCACCTCACAGGGTCGTTGTGTCAAGAAAAGGTAGGGGAGGTGGAGGACTCTGTAAGCTACTTAACCGGACAAAATGCAGGATATAAATGAGATGATAAATATAGGCACCGACACTGCTAGAGGCCACCTTTGCGGATTTTACTGACCTTTTTGGATTCGGTCAGATTGTTGATATGCAGGGTGTAAACCCCACTGGGGTTGAGTCCAGACTGAAGGATTTCTGCACAGTCTGAGAAAAGCCGATCTTCTTTCTTCCGAGGAACTGGTGAGAAAAAGACAAACCCTGAAACGTTTCCTTTCCCTCCCTCCTGTCCTGCAACACCTCTCCTTCCCAAACAGATCTCCCTGGATAGCTATTTTCTTTGGGAAGGGAAATTCCGATCTGTCTGGGAGGATGGCTTGGGGAAAGTTTCACATTTAATGAAGAATGCATTTTATCCAAGATGATTTGGATGAGAGGAGGAAGGCCTGACCCCGTGCCTGTGTGGGCGGAAAGGAGTCCTACAACTCCCAGCATTCCCAGCCAGGCAGAGCTGTGGGGTTTTTAAATTCTTCTCTTTTGCTTTCTCAGCTTGCACCATAAGGACTGCCTCCCTTGCAAACATCAGTAAATAATTTCAACATTTGCACGTCCAGAGCCACTTGACATGCGAAAAATAAGATGCAGATTTGCCTGGACTGCAAAACTTTGAGGTGCCTCCCAATACCCCGCTGGGGGGAATTCTGAATTTTACATGTTGAGTGGAAACACAGAAACAGAGCGAGTCAGAAGGGGCCTCCCGGTCCATCTAGTCTGACCCCCGGCTCCGCTCATGACATGCCCACCATGTGCACGCCCAGCCTATCCTTGAGCACCCGCACCGATGGGGCCTCAACGACCCCCCGGGGAAGCCCATTCCACGCCCTTGGGGTCCTAACTGTCAGGAAGAGCTTCCTGGCATCTAAATGGAGCCTGGGTTCCCTGAGCTTTGCTGTGTTGGAGCACGTCCTGCCTTCCTCTGCAGGGGAGGACAGGTCTCTACCCATCTCCATGTGACACCCCCTCACACACCTGTATGTCACCAACAGATACCCTCTGAGTCTCCTCTCCTCCAGGCTGAAGAGGCCCAGTTCCCACAGTCTCGCCTCATACGGCATCCCCTGCAAACCGGCCACCAGCCTTGTGGCCCTACGCTGCACTGACTCCAACCTGGCTATATCCTTCCTGTAACGAGGGGCCCAAAACTGAGCACAATACTCCAGTTGCGGGCGCACCAGAGTCGTGTAGAATGGTAGCAATACCTCTCTCGATCTGGAAGCCACGCTTCTGGCTCTGCAGCCAAGGAACATCCCAGGCAAATTCCAGATGGCAGCAGAATGAACCTCCCACGGACCGAGCTAGAAACTCACCTTGAAGGGCATCATTGAAAGCCAGCTGCCGTTTTCAGAAATGCTGCTGAGCTCACCTTTGCCTTGGGAGACCAGCTGGACTAAACTCTGGACCGACTCCAGGAGCTGCAGCTGCTGTTGGTGGATCAGGCTGGTGTTGCTGTTCGTGGCATGCAGGGACTTCTCCAGCCCCTGGATGGTGTCGCTCTGGCGACTCACCAGCTGCTGGAGCTCTTCCTTCTCCAGTCGGATGCCCTCCATCTCCATCAGGTGCTTGGCCTCCATCTGTAGGACTCGTGTTTCCAAGATGCTGAGAGCAGAAAGACAAGGAAGGTGGTGGGCTCACAGGGCACATGGGGGTTGAGGCCTCCTGAAGCTTCCGTGTAGCCTGAAGTGCCTGATGCTGCCTAATCTTGGAAGCTAAGCAGGGTCAGGTCTGGTCAGAAGTGGGATGGGTGACTTGAGTGAATGATTCTTGGTGTAAACTGCCCAGAGAGCTTTGGCTATGGGCAGTATGAAAATGATGATGATGAACTGTCTCAGTGGAGTTCCTCCTCCATCACAGCTTTCTGACTGGGCTTTATAGAAGCAGGTGGTGGACCTGTTTCGGGGCTCAGGTCCATGGACAGAGCCTGTACAGCTCAAAAGAAAAGCCGCACTGCTTGAGGAACCCCGCTGACCTAGCCGTCCGCCAACCTCCTCTGCCTAGTGACATAACCGGAGGCTTCACAGAATTTCACAAGGGGATGGAGCCTGCCCCCAGAAGCCAGAGCCGTGCTTTTATAGTTTATTTAGGGCAGGGGTGTTCAGCCTCAAACCCAAGGCCCAGCTCTGGCCTGAAACCCTAACCGGCCCTTTTCTGTCCCCCCCAGCTCACCCCTTTTCCACAATGGCCCCATCCCTACCGCCAGACACATCCCTGCATCCAAACCACGATCCGTTGGAGAGCTCCCAGGTTTTGCGCAGATCCCTCCATTCTCTGAAAAGTTGGAATGCCTCTCCGGTGCCTTAGTTACTCACAAGGAAAACTTCTCACTAAAACACGCAGGTATTTGGCACTGCGTTTTGGCCCAGCTAGTGATCCGCTGCTTCATCCGGCCCTTTGACCAAATGTGTGGTTTTGGCCCCAATCCCTGGCATGCGCTGCTGCGGGGCAGGGTGGGGGATGCTTGGCCTCCTGGCTTTAAGGGGAATGAGGTGAAATTGTGGTGGGGGAAGCGCGGTCCTGGGCTCCTTTCAAATCCCAGATTCGGCAGGCAGCACGCCAGGGTCAGGAGACCTTTCTGGGCCATGGCCGCACTCGGAAATTTGGGGAAATGTCATGGGCACAGGCACAAAATGGCTGCCTTAGGCGGACCGTGGGTTGCCGCAAAGAAAAAGCGAGTAATTTCTGGCATACTGAGAGGCGAGTAGCTCAGAGGCCCCCAGTTTGCTTTGAAGGGAGCTCAGGTGAGGCTAAGAACTTTTAAAAAAGGAATGAAAAGTTGGGAGATGCAGAGCATCTTGGTGAGCATCGAGGCTGCTGTTTGGGGACACGCTGGTACCTGCAGGCCACCCTCTGCAAGGGGCACCGAGTGCCCGCTGCTATGGCGCAAAAATCAAACGGGCAGAGCCCTGGCCCCTTCTCCCACGAAGGTATCCCCCACCTGCAAAAGAAATCCTCTCAGAGGGAGGGGAAGACCTCCCAATAACCTTTTTCACGGGGGAGAGGAAACACAAGAACCTAAGAAAAGCCACGTTGGATTGGACCCAAGATCCGTCCAGTCCAGCGCTCTGTGCACACGGTGGCAAGCTGGCTGCCCCCAGGATCCCCCCAGCAGGAGGGGGGCACGAGCTGCTCCTGCCCAGCTCCCCAGCATCTGGTGCCTGCAGGCAGGCCGCCTCTGGGAGCGCCTGGCCAGCAAGGCGCGTGGCCACAGGTCCCCTTCTCCCCCAGGCATCTGCCCAATCCCCTTTCAAAGCCACCCAGATGGGCAGCCACTTCCCACGGCAGCAAATTCCCTATTTAACCATCTGCTGTGTGAAGAGTCCCTCCTTCAGGGCCAAAGGCTTCATTTGCCTTTCCAGTGCAGGGGGCAGCTGGGGAATTTTCCCAGCTGGGTAAAATTTCATTTTACTGAGTTGGACCCTAAAATGGCCCGCAAGTTGTTGCCGTGTCACGGGGCTCTTCGCACAGGGTCTTTCCGCCTTTCCTGGGATGCTCCGGAGATGTGCCGTTTCCCAGGCATTCCAGAGGGGCTGCAGAACTGGAAGCGCTTTTGCTAAGCGCCCTGCCACACTGCAGCCGTGTGCTCAGCCTCTTTACAGGAACCCACGTCATGTGCTGGCGAAGAGCCTGTCTTGGCTTCCCAATGAGAAAATGCTGCAGAATTCCCCCTGCCCTGCCCTCTTTCATGGCTGCCTCGATTCCACCCCCATCAATGGCCAAAAATGGGGCTGGCTGAATATGTGGCACCGTCTTAGTGCAGGCGGGGAGTGGGCCATCCCCTCGGGGGGTGCTTCTGGGTTTCTCCAATGTGTTTGGCTGTCCAATGCAAGAAGCAGGCTGGTGGACCCCCCCCAGCTCTTGGTCTGATCCAGCAGGGGTCTTGGTCCACTCTGAACCTTTGGCATTTGGTGAGGAAATGGGAACGTGGAGAAGGAGGGGAGGATTACAACAGCCAAGGAGGGGCCCATGGATTTTGTTTTTTGGGTGTTTTTTTGGATTTTACTGCTAAGTTTATATCCTCTTATCCTCTTGCAAGAAGTCCACAGCAGCTCACCCAGTCTTCCTGCCCCCAGCATTTTATCCTCATAAAAACCCTGCGGCACAGGTCAAGTTGAGAACAAAGGGCTGGTTCCAGGGCTCCCAAAACAAACTTCACAGCGAGGTCTGACCACAGCTCCTGACTGACTCCTCAGTCTAGTACAAAAGAGGTGCAAAACCAGTGATGAAGCCTCTTGGAGTCGACTCCGGTTTTCCATGGTGTAATTCCCCTCCATTTTTGTGAACACGCCAGCTTGGATGAAGCAACAGCTCACTGCATCCCAGCCAGCTGGCTTCCCAAAGTTTGAGGGGATCATTTCAGTTGCAACTGCAGCATATGTTGGATCATGCACAAAGCTCAGTTGCCATGCCAAAATGTAAAAAAAAAAAAAAAAAAGCCACTTGATGATGAGTTTCATTTGCCAAAAATGGGGGAGAAAAACACGATCATGCATTCCAAGATCCCTTGCAAGTGTCAAATAATTTGCTATGCAATTCAGCTCCCAGAGGATTTTAGCATTCAAGCCTTGAAAATGTATATTCGGCAAAAGCTTAGCTGCAAATATGTTCTTTCAAGCCTGTGGGAAACACCTGGGGAAGAAGAGGCAATGTTTTATGAGATGCTGAGGTGCTCTGCTCATGCCTTCATGATCTTGCAATGTAGTCGGTTCCCCTTCCGGGGCAAGCTCTGTGAAAAGGGACTCTTCAGCATGGTTCATGGAATCATGGAACTGGAAGGGGCTTTGGACATCCTACAGGCCGCCCCCACCGCCCAGTACAGTCCTTTCCTTCCATCCTTCCAGCAAAGAAGAGCCCAACCTCACCCAAGGCATCCGTTCCACCACTGGACCAAGGACCTCGCTCCCATTTTGAGTCTAATCTTCCTCCGGGCAATTTCCAACCACTGGTTCAAGTTCTGCCCTTTGGAACAGCCGTTTGTTCCATGTTCTGCATGACAGCCCTTCAAATGTTGGGAGAACACGACCATGTTTTTCCTTAGCCTTCCCTTCCCCTGGGTTCTTTGGTTTCAGGACTCTTCGCCAGTCTCATGGTTCACCTCTGGACACGATCCAGGTCGTTGATGGCTGCACTGAGTCATGGAACGATGCGCAGAGTCGTGGGATGCACTAGGGAGGACGGAAGTGATGAGACAGGAAGTCGGTGGAGGGGCCACGACTTACCATGGCTGGCCGAAGAGAACGGGCTGAGCACACTTAGAACGGAATGAAATTTCCTGCTCTCTCACATCTGCTGGGGATTTGGGTTAATGCAACATGGCAGCAGCGGCTCTTTAAAAACCTCTGTGGGATTCTTTAGAGCAAGTGGACGTGGCGCTTGGCCAGAGCTCCCTCTGAGACTCAGTCCGAAGAACTGGAAGAAGTCCAAGAGTCAGAACAAGAACCCCCTGACAGCAGGCAGGAGTTAAAGACATCCAAGCTCAGTCCAGGGTAGGGCTGGAACTCCAGCAGGGTCATGTGCCAGCTACCCCTGCCATTTGATGGGAGAGGGTTGTTCTGAATTGAGGGCAGAAAATATTTTTTGGAAACATTTGCCATTATTTCTTGGAGACCACTGTTAAAAAGAAAATGTGGAAAAGAGGTATCCCAAGACATGGAACCCAATGGAAGGGCCAGGATTTAGGAAGTGCTGAGACAGGAAGTCTTGGGGAAGGGCTTTCGCTGGGGCTGGGTCAGGCTGTTCCTCACGGCCAAGTGGGAGACGGAATCCGCAAAAGCTTCAGTGACATCCAGTACTCCATGTTCCTTTTATATATTTATTGGCCAAACATTTTTCCAGCCTGGGAGAAATATGAACTATGGGCCCATTATTCCTGCCTGCAAGGCATTTTCTTTTTTTGAAACATCGCAGAATTGATAGCTGTCCTTTAAGTATTTTTCCCTTCTCTCCTTTTGAGGACCTTAAGTTTCGGGTTGCTCAAGAGAGGACGTCTCCACTGGCCATTTTTCCAGTGCAAATATGGAGTGCTAGCAGAAACCAAAGTTCTGAGCGCTGTCCAAGGGAGAGTCCAGGGAAAGAAGTGGGCCACCAAGGAGTGTCTGACGGGCCCCCACGGCCACCTCTCCCCCTGCCTGGCGCCCTGTGCCTGCTGCTTACTTGAACAGGAAAATTGTACACACTGTGAAACTGCAAATTGAACAGGGATTGAGTGGGAAATGTGTGATTTCCTAGTTGGCACAACCTGCCTCCATAGAGGAGGGAAGCAAAGAGGGGCCGATTCAATCTGCAGGGGACTCACACAGTTGGAAGGGGCCTAGAAGTCCGACCCCCTTCTCCACACAAGACTCAGGTCACCCATCCAGATTCTAACCAGGCCTGACTCTGCTTAGCTTCCAAGATAAGGCAGGATCAGGCACTTCCAGCTACATGGAAGTTTGTGTAAACTGGGAAAGCTGAGCATGCAAATCAAATGCAGTCGCATGTGTGGGGATGTGTGTTTGCCCTGCTTGAACCAGGCTTGGCTGTACTTTTTGCAAGCAAAAGCGGAATTTTCCTACCTCCCCAGCTTCTGCTGGCGCAGTGTTTGCTCTGTGTGGATTGAAGTGGCCCCGCAGCCGGATCACTGTGATTCCACTTGCCCAGGTCTGAGAGCCAGAAGCCTCCCTTTTCCAAATGCCCAGAGGCCCGGTTCCCTGACGCTGGCCGCGCAAGCGCCGGAGACCTGGCGAAAGATGTCCCTAGGCTCAGCACGGCTGCAGTGGCAAGCAGTTCCACAGAAAGCTGTCTACCTGCCCCAAAACCGTGGGTGTTGCAGCATCCATCTCAGAGCTGGGGACAGGACTCCAATGGGCACCCGCACTCACTCAGTCAAGGGGCCCTTCTGGAATCAACCCCCAGACACAGCGGGAGGGGCCGGAGGGGACACGGGACACCAGAAGGGAGTGGGGAGCCTTCAGGCACCAGGAGAGATGGCCCCAAGGCTTCTCCAGGGCCGGAGCTCAGCTAGAGTTTCCCCCAAACAAAGGGCGGGGGGAGGACTGCACAGGGACGCTCTGCACAGGCACTGGAGATCTTTGCCATGGACAGAAGGGACTCTTCAGGGAAGCAAGAGGCAGCTGACACAGGGCTGGGCCAGCAGAACGTGCCTTCCTTTTTTAATTTCTGACCAACTTTTTCCCCGCATTCTGTAGTTTTTGCTGACTTATCCTTAATAAATCTTTCACCCAAGCCCAAAGGGGGATGCTCACACTATATTTTGGGTCACATGATGCCAGTTCAACTCCCCAGTTGCACACAATGGGCTCAGCAACATTGTAACTTAGCCGCACGCCCCTGAGGACACCAGCGGAGTGTGAGGAGTCCCACGGAGACCGGTTTTCCCCTGCGGTGGAGGGCAGGATGCGCTCCAATGGAGCAATGCTCAGGAAACTGAGGTTCAGTTCGGATGCCAGGAAGTACTTCCCGACAGTAGGACCCCCAGGGTATGGAATGGGCTTCCATGGGAGGCGGTTGAGGCCCCATTGGTGCGGGTGTTCAAGGACAGGCTGGACGTGCACATGGTGGGCATGTCGTGAGCGGAGCCAGCTGGAACCGGGGGTCAGACTAGATGACCTGGGAGGTCCCTTCTGACTCGCTCTGTTCCTATGTTACTTTCAATGAAGGCAGCTGAAACCATTGGGCCCCACTGCAGCAAACTTCATGCCCTCAAACAGGGCCACCTGCGGACACCAGGTCGCCGCATTGGAGATCCAGGAACCTGGCAGATCCTGGGCTTCCCAAGTGTTCTGCCTGCACAGAGGAAAGGGGCAGCCTCGCTCCACAAAGGCAGCGATTTCTTCCACCAACGGCGCACTGGATTTAGGCCATACTTTGTCTTTATAGCCATTTTTAGAAGCATTTGCTGACTGATTCCTCTGGGCACCCTGCTAACTGGAAGAAATAGTCTCAGATTTAAAATGTAAGTGAAGTCATTTCATCTGTCACTTGATTACATTTTGCGTCCCTAACAGCAAATTATCACATTCTGGACCGGCTTCAGTGAGTGGCAGAGTTTTTTCCGTGTGCCTCGGAACGCAGCATCCGTCCTTCCCAGAACACTTTGCGGTAGCGAAACTTGCTTTGTGTATCTCACGCCTCCTGGGGACCACAGAGAGGCATCCATGCTGCAGCTTGCCAAGGGGTCTCCATCAGCACGAAAGGACCCTCTCGCCCAGTGCAAAGCTCTCCTCTTGATGGCCCAGTCTGGGGTGCAGAGCAGCAGACGACCTTCCCGCATCAGCCGGGCCGTGGTGGCAGCTGCCAGGAGACCGCCACTCCCTGGGAGGCTGAGCAAGGCTGAGCGAGGCCACGTTCCAGAAGAGCAAGGCAGAGATAAGGCGGGGAGGCAGGCCAGGCCAGTCCAAGGCAGATAAAATATGTCTCCCGAATGCATTTCTGAGGCGTGAATCAATCCAGAAGCGGAGGCCAAGGCGCCGCGGGTTCCTGGCTCCGAGGATTAACCCTCTCGGGGACTGTGTCACCCAGGAGAGGAAGCTTGCCGGGTGAAGGAGCAAGCCCAGGGATGCACGGGGCAGGAAAGGCCTTGCCTTCAGGGAGGGCTGCAGGAAAGGCCTCGTCCTCCGAAATCCAGCATGAAATCCAATTTACACTCCCCTCTGCCTGTGTGAAGGCCAGTCATGTCCCTGCGAGGCCCAGTAGCTACAGGATCACCTGGATAAGCCACCAAGGTGTGCGCGAAGAACCCCCGGTGAGGAGAGAGTGGGGCACGATCCCTTCTTGCATGCAGCAGCTTGAGGCAAAGACGGGATTCGGGGCGTGTGGCATCTTCTCACGCTCACAGAACACCTGCATGTTGGGGGTGTTTATTATCTTTGCAATCCTCCCAAAAACTAGTGTTTCCTCAGGCAGGGTACAAACAGTTAAAAGACTAAAATGTAATATAAGCCAGTATTTATGTGTGTATAGTACAATACACACAACTTGGGACCTCAAAGCATCGCCATAAAAACCTAGAGCTAGGTCTGTGAAGTACCTGGGAGAAAAGCAAGGTGTTTGCGTGGCTCTGGGCACTGGGCAAGCCTTTTTGGGGGTTCATTCTGTAAGTGGGGTGCCACGACTGGGAAGAATCACTACAGAAGACTTCGGGAACTGGACTGTCAACAATGAAGAATTTGAAATTGAGAAAGATTTTGCATACGTCGGCTCAGTCGTCCGTTCGAAGGGAGACTGGAGCCAAGAAATTTGACGAAGGCTGAGGCTTGGAAGGGCAGCGATGAAGAATCTGGGAAAGATCCCCCGGTCTAAGGACATTGCAGGGCCAAGACCATCCACACGATTGTACTCCTGATCGGTATGGATGGCTGTGAGAACTGGACAGTGAAGGAAGCTGGAAAGAGGAAAACGAGTGCCTTCAGAAGATGGTGCTGGAAGAGAGCTTGTGAATACCCTGGACTGCCAGAAAGACCAAAGGGGCTCCTAGCCAGATCAAATCAAGCCAGAGTTTTCCCTGGAGACAAAAATGTTGAAACAGAGGCTGAAGTACTTTGGGCCCATCATGAGAAAGCAAAAGTTCCCGGAGAAAACCATTGTGCCAGGACTAGTTGAAGGCAGGAGAAGGCCAGGAAGACCAAACAGGAGATGGATGGAATCCACAAAGGCGTCTACAGCCTCAAGCCTGGAAGAACTGAATGGAGCTGGACTTTCATGTGTAGGGTCGCCATAGGCCAGAGAGGACTTAACAGCATGTCGTCATCGTCGTCGTCATCATCAACAGCAGACCCTCTCTTGCAGCTACCTGCCCACTTTCCTTTGGCAGGGGTGCCTGTGTCCTCTTTCACTAGGCAGTCCTCTATTTGGAGGGCTGTCCCATCCAATTCAGTTCTAAAAGCAGGAGATGGTTCTGAGCCCCTCAAAAGCCCAGGTGTCCACCCTGCAGCAGGCTGAAGAGGTGGGCACAGAGACGGCCCACACGATCATAAAATACGCTGCATTTCTATTTAAACTGCAGCAATTATTTCTGAGTTTGCAGAAGTACTTTCATTAGCACTGGGTCCCCCTCCCAGCCTTTTGGTATCAGTGGGCATCCCTGGAGTGTTGGGCCTTTTCCCAAATGGGGGACAGGGCAGGACCAGCTGCAAAACACCTTTTCAAAGAAAGCAGATCGGCAGACTACAAAAAAAGCCACGTGCCGAGAAGTGGCAGGAGTGCGGTCTGAGCTCCAAAACACAAAACTACTCTCTACACCCTGCTAAAGTCACACTAGAGGACTGTGCAGCAAGCCACCCACCCAGGTTTAAAAGAACCATCTTTCGAGCCGCCCCGAGGCTTTATGAGCCGCCCCGAGGCTCTGTTGCGATGGGGGCGGCATAAAACTGTTTTAAATAAATAAGTAGAAAGTCTTAAGAAACTGTACAAAACCTAAGGCGGCCAGTGGGCATCCCAGGAGGGCTTGTGGGCTCCCAGGAGGGCGCAGAGTGAACACGCATGGGTCGAGCGTGCCTCGGCACCCCCCGCCGTGCTGCCTTTCGGTGCCGCGTCTCCTCCCTTGCACGAGGCACAGGTGGGCCGCCCGGGGCAGCCGGCTCGGCCTCTGCCCAGCCGCGTACCTGTTCTGGTTCTGCAGCTTGTGGATCTCGTTCGTCTGCACCAGCAGCTGCTTCTCCAGCTTGTTGGTGGAGAGGGAGTTCTCCAGGAGCTGAATCTCGATGCGGGAGGTCTGGTTGAGAACCTGTGCAAGCAAGGCACGGAGCAAGACGAAGGTCAGGTGAAAACCGATCCCCCCAGAATCTCTTTCTTTCCACAGCAGGAGGTCAGCCGTGGAAAACGGCAAGCACAGAGCAGGGGCAGAGGGCCTCCACGGAGCAGCTGCAGCCCCCCAGGGTCTGAGGCTCGATTCCCCATTCCTTGCTGGGCTCTACATTTCTCTGTAATCCTAGGCTTGGGTCCAGGATCTGCTTCCTTTGATGGCAAGGAGCCGCTTGGTTTTCAGGGCTCTGCCCTGCGGGTCACACCACAGCTCACCCCATTCAGCGGGGTCCCTGGACCCTCCAAAGAGCATCTCTGGGGTCTTGAGGAGGAGGTGGGGCAAGCTGCTTTCACCAGCCCTGCTGCCCACACCTAAACGCCATCATACTTTCTTGGGGGAAACAGAATGCTCCTTTCTCCAAAGACCACAGTCGATCTCCCCTCCCATGCAAGGGCAGCCTTGCTGCATCAGGACCAAGGCCGGTGTAGCACAGCGCCCTGATTCTCATGCTGGTCAACCAGATGCTGAAGGCAGGGGCTGCCCCAGCTTGACCCCATTTATCCGTGTAAAGCTTTTCTATCCCCTTCATTCAGTGAAAAAGCTCTCTGAGTGCTGTACCATGAGCTCTCTGAGAAAATATATATTTACTGTATTTATATCCTTTCTTTTTTCCTGCAAGGGACCCAAGGCAGCTTACACTGGGGCGGGGGAGAGATAGAGAGAGAGAGACAGAGAGAGAGAGACTGGCTCAGAGTTGCCTCGTGAGTCTCATGGCCAAGTGGGGATTAGAACCCATAGTGCTGAGTCCCAGCCCAGCTCTCTGACCACTACCCTACACTGCCTCTCCAGCACACAGAAAAAGCATTGGAAAAGGCATTTCAGAGAGCTCAGCTGCCTCTGTCCCCGGGGCTCTCCTTCGCTCTCGAGGTCCACAGCAAAGGGCCAGCCAGTGAGTGGCACCAAAAGCAGACCAGGCTGTGCAGCCTCTTTTAGGTGTGCTTGCATGGCCCCCAAGAGAGAAAAGGGGTTTCTATAATTGACCTTCCTCATCTTGAAATCACTCCCACCCATCCTGGCTATTCAACTTGAAAGTTTAAGGATCAACCAATGCATGTTCAGAGAGACAAGAGCCATGAAACTAGCAGCACACCCCTACCGTGGATCGCAAGATGTGCCGTTCCATCCCAACCACCTCTCTCTCCCTTTACACACACCCAGACATAGTAAGTGGCATACAAATCTTGAAAGAAACATTTCTTTGCAAAATCTAAGCCAGAGCACCTCCTGTCTCCTCCTCAGCCTATTTGCTTTCAAGAGCTTTGATGTGCCGGCTCAAGATGAGCTCAGCGACGGTCAGCACCGTGCCCCCGGGTTCTGGCCCTTCTGCCTTTGCGAGCGAGCACTTTGCTTTGACGAGGGAGTTCAGCTTTAAAACAAAGAAACAAATGAATGCCAGTTCTAGCAGCAAAGTCCACGGAGTGGGGAAAGGCTGAAGACCAGGGAGAAGCCCCCAGGATAGACGCCTGCTACTCAGGCTGGAGCAACTGGGCCCAGCATTCCCTTCTGCTCCCCTCTCTAATGAATAAACATATTCATTATCCCGGTGTTTCCCCACATGCTCCCCACTGCCGCAAAGAACACCTGAGCCTCCACATCTGTGAGTTTTCTGGTCTGCTCGGCCGTTTGATTCAAGAGGTTCGTCCCGATCTCCAGCATGGTGGCCGTCTGGTTCTGCACTGCATTGTGCTGGATGTGAACCATCTCCGATTTCATATTCATCTGGATGTAACTTTCCAGCTAAAATAGAACATAGCCAGAAGTTATGGGCGAACGATATGAGATTACACCTCCCCAGTCCCAACTCTCGCTTGGCTTCCCCTCCCTCCAGTTCATTCCACAAGAAGAGCAATTCCTATTTCGTAAAACAAACTCCCCCAGATGAATGATTGCTAAACGGGTCTCTGGAGGCACACCTTGGATTCTCTCGCCTTCAAGCAGATGCCAAGCTTGGGGCAATTTCCGAGAAATATGTTTTGGGACAATTTGACCTACGTTATTATCATTAATGCTTTTTGTGGTCGAGCCATCCGGCGGCGGCGGCGCGTGCTCTTGGCAACCTGGATTGCTGCCTCAGGGAAAAAGAAACTCAGCTAAAAACTCCTCTTGGAAAAATTAATCTCTGAGAAATGTTGGCCAAGAAAAGATTAGGTGCCTGTTGAATCCACTCTTGCTAAAGAGCCCTTTTTCCATGATCCATGGACTATACCCTGAGGGAAGGGCTCCCTTGACTCAGGGCTGTTTCCGAGATGAATTTTCCAAGCCTCTTGTCCCAACCATGCCTGGGCAGGAAGGACTTTTGCCCTACCCCAAATTCTCCATTCTGGAAATGTTGCCAGAAAATCTGATATACAAATAATGAACTTGATCTCCAAGTTCATTAAGTCGCCAGAATGTCCCAGTATGAGAAGCGCTCAAACTGACTGATGTTTCTCTCTTAGCATACACAGAAAACCAGTTGAGTTAGGAGAAGGGAAGGGAGCAGAAAAGGACAGGGCTAAAACATTTTTGTTCCAGGTGCCATTTGAAATATCCAGCCCTTCTTTGGCTGCTTGGGAAATACTTGCTCTGATTAGTGCAGAAAGGTTGACAAACTGAGCAGCTAGAACAGCCTTTTAAAATGCAAATTTTATCTAATCTAAAACATTTGAATGGGGAAAAGTTTCATCGCCTGTTAGAAAAGATACAGATGGCCGACTGTCACATTGGAAGCAGGCCCCTTCCTGTCTGAAGGGAAGATGGAACACCTAAGATTGTGGAGGCTGGAACCTCCACCAAGAAAAATGTTCCCTCCGAGACATCATTTTGGCATATGCAAATTTGGACAGATGCAATCAATGCATCCATCAAGTTTAAACTGAGTAATCAACTGAGATTTCTTTAATGGGGTGAAAGCACAGCATTAGCTGTCCAATGATCTTTCGGGAGTAATCGGTCATCAGGTCCTGCTTTTCAGGAGTCAATTGGCCAGCGACATTGCAACTAAAATATAAAACGAATTTTTACTGTCAGATTAGGGCAGGCTTAAGCATTTTAAATAGGTTCTTGGTTCAGTCATAATGAAGAGTAGTTGGGTAAGGTCATGCACAGGCTGGGATTCACTGGTTTTGCATTTTAACGCTAATGATCTAATTTGCATACCAGAATGCAAATTACCAGAATGCAAATATCCTTTCCTTTTCAAAGCAGAGTGCATGCTTTTGTTACTGATTAATTGTACAGTGGTTTTATTCTTATATTTATGGTTTTTACTGCCCTGCATTTTATGTTCACTACTTTAATAACTTTATGGAAAGTGGTATATGCATTTGAATACATGGATTAAATACACTCACACATCTGGACTTTACAATGCAGCTGTTCATTAAAAATGCACCAAAAAATACATACATCACAGAAGCTGCTTGCCAAAAGGGGCATATACTAGTATGCAAATTTTCATGCAAACTTTACAAACAACCTCTTCCCACACACGCATTTGCAAAAGGTTCTGGAAATTAGAAGGAATGAAGTCATGCTTAGCAGAAACGCAAGCTTTCGTGAAACCAGAGCTCTGCACCTTTCTCAGAGTGGGAGCTCGCCTGGAGCTGGATTGCACAGTGGTTGGATTCAGACAACAAAGGCCACAATCTAGGGTTGAGGATGAATTTCTGTCCAACTATGAACTGTCATGTCGTTTGAACCCAGTCAAGACAGCAACCCTTGGTGAGACACCCACAATTCACTACCCTCCAACAGAACTTGGATTCTCTCCATGGGCTGGATTTGAACAACCCATCATTTGCAAGCGCAGCCGGGTTAATGAGCTCTCCAACTATTCTCTGCGCCTGCTAGTTGCCAGGATCGGACCAGGGCTATGCCTGTGTACTTCACACTGGGACTGGATTTGCTATGTATGGCTCCTAGGAAAGTCCCAGCGCCAGTTCTTGGTCCTTAAGCAGCAGGGATCCCGCACCGGATTCCCAGGGCCGGGGTGGCAGAGGTAGAGGGAGAACTGGCAAGATATTTACTTATTTTATACTGTTAATTTTAATTTTATATTATTATGTTTGTATCTCAGTGTATTTTTTGTATTTTTGTATTTAGTGGTAATTTATTATGTTCTATTGTATTTCAATGTATTTTATTGTGTTGTAAGCCGCCCCGAGGCTTCGGCAAGGGGCGGCATAGAAACGTTATAACAACAACAACAACAACAACAACCAGGAGAACCAGCCAAGATTAGACATCCGCACAGCAGGGCCTGAGGGAAACACCAGGCCAGGATCCAGCAAGGATCAGGTGCCAACAAGCCACGGCAGGTCCAGAGATAAAAGCAGGGTCAGAAACAGGTCAGGGTCCAGATGTTTCTGGACTGGAAGCAGAAACCAGGTCAGTAACATGCAGCCTCCACCACAGAGACTGTCCTGGCTGCAGCAAAACAGGATTGCATGGTCCTCATCCTGAAGGGGCGTACAGGTGTGCGGCCAGTCCTGCATAGACTTGCAAGCTGACCAGGCTGCCTCCTGCATCAGGCCGCCAGGGGAGCTGCAGACCTGCAGGCCCTGGCGCCCAAGGACCATCGGGGCATTTCAGCCCCCCACTCCTGAAGCCAGTGGTCTGTGATCGCTCCAATATAGGCAAAGACGTAACTTCTTAATGTAGCTGTATAACCAGTTCAGAGGCAAAGTGAAGCCCCTTCCACATCGCGTCCAGAGAAACCAGCCCGTGTCGGACCGTCTCCACAAAGACCTCTCCTCTTCCACCCACTGCCACCAGCTGCCCTTCCAGCAGGGTGCGCTGAAGGAGAGCAGAGGGGGGAAGCAGGCCGGTGCCGCCAGCCCCACTAAAATGACGGATTTCCCCTGCTTCCTCCTGCATTTCTATTTTATTGTTCTTTCTTTTAACTTTTATCAGTGGTCCTTTCTCAATTATCTCCAGCCAGCTGCAAGAAGAACTTCGTCACCTGAGGAGCAGAATAAAATTGCATACAGTGAATGAACATTCATAGCCCTCAGCCAATGCAGCCTCGCTTCCAAGCTGGACGTGGGACAATTGCAGGCTGGGTGTTGCAAAAGATGGAAACAAGCCTTGAACTGAAGATGCAGATTAAAGGCAGATGTCCCTTCTTCTCCCCTAATCCACCAGGGAGATGCATTTCCCAAAGCGTTTTCTATTTTAGGAGGTATTATTATAAATCAGATGTTGGGTTAATTTGAAGATACATTCCAAGTGCCCAACTTTTTGTGCAGACTTGTGGGCAAAAGGGAAGAACTGTCTGGGATCCTGAGTGTTTGTGCAGTGAGAACAAATTGTAGAATTCAGCCCAGAAAGGGAGAACCTAGCAGGGAATGTTGGGTCAGGAGCTGAATTAGGGGTTCTGGTTGGTCAGAGACCAGTTTCTTGCATTACAACCAGTGTCCTACATTTCAAGCAGGGCACTCTGGTAATGGCCCTCTTTTGCTCTTGCTCCCCAGCAAAAGCTTTGGAGTGGTATACTGCTCCTGACCATGGAGGTTTTATGCATGGTGAACATTTATGGATTGACATGAAACAAAAAACTCCACCAGCAGCAGGGAAACATCAATCTAAATGAATGAAAAAGAAGATAAACTCATGACTCATCAGTCCATTAAAACCATGGCACAGTTTTCTAAACACGCACCATTAAAATGCCAAGGAAAATAAATGAGATTTTAACCAGATGCCTAAAAGGATATGATGTTGGTGAAATTTCTCTCAGAAGGGCATCCAAGAGACAAGGACAACCTGTGCACCTTTAAAATGCACCTGGAGACTTTTGCTGAAAAGCTTCACCCCATGATCTTGATGCATAGATAGATTTGTGTGCGAGGAGGCTTCCTTTTCGTACTGAGGAAGGACGGCCAAATCTGCCCATTTCATTTTCCCCCCATATCTGCATTTTAAAGCTCACATTCTCTTTGCCCTTTGATGAAGAAATGTGTAACTCCCTGGCGTGCTCTTCTCAAAAGAATGAACCAAATGAAATCCTCACCTTCAGCAGATACAGCTGTTCCCAGCAGGGAGGGAAGCCTGGTCGTTGACCATGCTGGCTGGGAATGATGGGGGTTGTAGTCCAGCAAATTAGGTGTGCTTTCCTGAATTTGCTTTACCTCCCTTGTCTTCCCCCACTTCAGATAGGAGGAGAGTCTCCACCACCTCTTGCTGCTGGGGTGGGGGGGATAGAATAGGATGGGGGGGGGCCTGAAACTCTTTCAGAGGAAGAAGCAACTTTCGGCGAAGTCCTCAGGGGGTGCACAGTGAGTCTGAAGGCAAAAGGAGCGAGGCCAAACTACTAACAATACCAACATCTGCCAACTTAAAGCTCTTTCTGTCAAGAACCAAGAGCTAGGAGTGCCTTTCCAAATTTTTGAGAAGGGAACGGAAAGCAGATAAGCAGGGAATCCCTTCCCTTGGGGTGCATCAGGTCAAGCAGGGCAGTGGCAAGCTCAAGCGTGCCTGGAAAAAAGCAACTCGGAAGGTTCTGGAACCAAGTCCTCTGAGGAATGGCTAAAAGAGCTGGAGAAAAGGAAGTTAAGCGGAGAGATGACAGTGGTTTCAATTTACCTGTGTTGTATTGCTAGCCCTGCTTTCTTCCATGGGCGGAACGCAAGGTGGCCTCCCCTCCAGGCTCTGGCCAGCCCCAGAGCTGCTTAGCTTCAGTGTGGCACATGTGCACACAACAGGCTCATAAATATATTGTTATTTCTTGTATTTTAATTTTATGTTGTGAGCCGCCC